AAAAAAAAAAAATACCTTGCATTTTTCAATGAATTTTTGCACATTTTCGAGCTGCAACTGAATCGACGGAATGATAATGTTTTCATGATGTGACTGAGAACATAATTCATTCAACAGCGGAAGAATTTCTCCAGCTGCTTCACTAAGTGCTGATTCGAGAGCACTAATTTGCATGTCCACTCCAGTTGATGCTGCCATCTTTCTTCGCTCTCGATCATCCATCACGGCTCTCAAATTACTGTCTATCATATTCATGCGATTCACTAATTCGATTAATCTTCCTTCAATTTTATTAGCTAGTGCCACACGCTTGTTCTTCTTTATTCGAAGTTCATGCACGCGGGAAACAAGCACTTCCGTCTCTTCGTCTTTAAAATGTAGCTCTTGCAGCTGTTTTTCAAGCTTCGCAATTCTTTCCTCATCACATTCCTCATTGCTCAATGCTTCCAGTTCCAATCGAATCATCATAATTTTTTCCTGTTTCTCCGCTCCTGCAAGTTCGTCCAGCTTCTCGCGCACAAGCTCGCAAATACGATTCATCTGCCCCAGTAATGCCTCCACTGCTGGCTGAGACATACGATGAACATGAATTCGAGCTCTGCTTGCCTCATCGTCTTTCGCTCTCAGCAGTTGTAACTGCGCTTGCAATGCGGGTAACTGATGATTTAGTATCTGAAATAGAAAATTATCAATTAAAAATTTTCAAAAGATAAGTCTTTTGAATTACTGGAAAGAAAAGCAGTAGTGGATAAATGCTGACAATAAAGTTTATAATTACTTCCTCAAGTTGTTCATGCTGGACCAGCTCTGACGCAAGTTCGATGTTGAGGCGTTCAATTTCTCGAGCCAGTTGTTGAGCAGATTCATTCAGTATGCTTTCTTCTTGTAGCTCATTGTTCATCGCAGACATAAGATTTTCATATTGCTGCTGCGTTTGCTCAACATCTACATCATAGAAACGAACATCAGCATACGCTGTTTCCAATGGATCCAGTTGTTCCGAAAGATTTTGCAACTTTACCATCAGAGTACGAAGCTCATTTAGTTCCTCATTTGCCTTCTGAAATGAATCATCTAAATTTGACCTATTTCATATATGATTCTCAAAATTTTTTAAAAAATTTTACATCCCATCTCTCTGGTATTATGTGTTTGGTGATTCAAGCACTGCAAATAATAAACAGCCCAAAATAACAGAACCATCCTCCAGGTGTTATCCCGAACAGATGTTTGCTTTTTCTCCTCTCTCTCTCTC